AAAAGTTGGAGTTGGTGAAGGGGCTCTGTGTAGTGGATTGGAAATAATGTACACATATGGAGAGGAACTCCGTGGCAGGACCCAAAGTCAACAGAAGTAACAGGTGGCAAGGGCTGCAAAAGGAGGATCAGCGAAGCGGTCAGCAGCGAGGAAGGGTACGAAAGGGATGTAGCGCAGTGGTGCACACTTGCCTAGCATGTGCAAAGCCTGGATTTGATCCCGAGCACTGCGAAACAAGACAAAACAAAACACAAAAGATACCCAAAATGATTCCCTTGGGGACTCGTCATCTCATGCAGGACACAGGAAGACAGGCGCATGTGAAATAAGGCCCCCGTGCCTCCAGATAGGGCACCGGGGAGGTGTAGACATCGGTGCTGTTGGAGCTCAGAGAACGGAGCTCGTGGAAGATGAGACCCTTGAGATGTGCAACAAAGTGGGAATGAGCGTGGCCCTGGCCGTCTTGGTTATTTCCTGAACAGTAGGAAGTAAAGAAGGAGAGGAACAATGGTTGAAATTGTGAGAGTCCTTAGAAAACCAGACTGGGGAATTGCATTTCACCTGGTGTGTGCTGGGAGACATTAAAGTTTTGGGGCCGTGGTGTGCTGCAAGGAAGGAGTATTTGGAAAGGTTTTTGAAAGCAATTTTAGGAGATCATGGGCTGTTGTACTTGTGGAGTGCTCAGAGTTCGCACTGGATTTAATTGGAAGTGGAAAAGAGGGTGAGTTTTAGAGACATTACTGTTGAAATAATCTGTTGACAGGGGCAGGGTGAAGTGGAAGAGATGAATGGAAATTAATTCTTTGTGGAAATTGATTATACGCCAGGGCCTTGGAGCCACTGTAGTTGGTAACTCGAGAAGTCGGAAATGTGTGTTTTGCAGAGAAGTAATTGACACTTGGGCTGTGTAGAAGTTTCTGTGTTTGCCAGGATATGGAAGTATAGGTGTGGAGCCAGCAACTGCTGCTGTGAGCTTGGTGGGAACCCCGGTGGGTAGAGTGTTAGAGAAGGCAGGCACTCAGGGGAAGGGGAGTCTTCGTGGTCGGAGAGTCAGCTGAGAATGTGAGTGGAACTTAGAGTCTGCCTTGAGAGGGTTTTCATTTTGCCCTTTTTTGGTGGTAGGGGGGACAGGGTTCCATAGTTCAGGCTGGCCTGAAAATCACTATGGAGCCCAGGTTGGCCTTGAACTGGTGTGGGTCCTCCTGCCTCAGCCTTCTGAGGCTGTGCTAGGATTACTGGCGTGCACCACCACGTCATTTTTCCCTCTTGTGTTGCCATTCACATGACACTGCCTGGTCTTGACCCTGAAGTTGGAGAAACAACTCTGGAGAATCAGGGCTTCTAGGAAACTGGGGCCATTTATTCTTCTAGGTATGAGGGGGCAGTTGGAGGTTGGAGAGAAGCAGGATAGGATTTGCTAAAGGTGTATATTGTTGGACTTTGAAGCATGTTGAACTTTGGACTCCATGAAGATCTTCAGGCTTGTCCCAGTGTTTCACTCATGCAGGGAGAAGAGGGTGCCTCAAGGGGACCTGAGGAAGGAGGGTGGGGACTTGGGGCGGGGTGGGGCGGGTACTGACTTCTGTAGGGCTCTGTCCTTCCCAGCCGGGTCCGGTTGCCCATCCCCAGGCGCCTGGTGACCTGCGCACCGGAAGGGGGCAGGTCCTCCTTCCCGGGCTCTGAATTCTGCTTTCTTGTTGCAAGGGAGACTTAGGGTGATTTGCTGAACAAATTCCCCAAGCCTCAACTTGCAACATCTGAATGTGAAGGATGATCACAGGAGGCTGCGGAATGAACTGAGAATGTAATTAGTTACTTAGCCTCCCTGTTTCCATGAGGGGCAGGGTCCGTGAACTGGGAGGGGAAGGGGCTTGGGGGAGGAGCCCCAAGGGGGTGTGGATCAGGTGCTTTTTTCTTTCTTTCTTTTGGTACTGGGGCTCGAACTCGAGTTCTTGCGCTTGTGCAGCAGGTGGAGAAACCACTGAGCTAAATCCCCGGCCCCAGGTACTTTTTTCTTTATGGCAAGTATTTGACTGCCTGAAAAATAACTGGGCAGAGCAATGGTTGAGCTCACGCATCCCAGAGCAGTGTTTTCTGCACTGTTCTGACCGTGACCTACATTAAGAAATAAAATCTACATCATGACCTAGTACATACAATCATGTATGTAAAGATCTAATTTCATGGTGTACTACTTCCCTGTGCTTGGTGCCATGTTCTCTAATGTTTTTATTGTCAATTTTTTAATTATTATTATTATTATTATTATTATTATTTTTTGGCAGTACCAGGGATCAAAGTCAGGACCTTGTGCTGCGAGGCAGGCACAGGACCACTGAGCTAAATCTCCAGCCAATTTTATTATTTTTCATTAAAAGTGCTGTTGTCAGCTGGGCATAGTGGTGTATGCTTAGGAGTCTGAGATAGGAAGATTGCAAGTTCAAGGCCAGCCTGGGCAGCCCAGTGAGATCCTGTCTAAAAACAAAAACAAAAACAACTGTTGTCTCTCACCGAGTTCATGTAGTTATCCTCTAATGAAACAATGGATCAAAGTGCACGAACAGTTTGAGAAGCACAGAGAGAATTTGCACATTCAGTTAGCATTTATTAAACTGCCTGTGCAGAGATGTCCTTCACAGGGCTCAAGAGATAGAAAGTGTTTAATCTCGTTGGAGATTTAAGGTATGACTTGGATAAAGGAGCAAAGCAAGATGACTAAATGCCAGAAATGAAAAACAAATGCCTGTAGGGTTTGAAGAGGGTTCGTGTGGCGTGCGGTGTGGCTAGGGAAAGCTCTTTGCCAGAAGCAAGTCTGGGGTGAACAGTTCAGGTGTCTTAGGTGCCGCATGGGAGAAGGTGCAAGTGTGCAAGGGCTTGGAGTTAGGAACAGACACAGTACGCTCACATGAGTGTGAGGAGCACAGGACCCTTGTGACAGAGTAGGGAGAAATTGGGTTGGAAAGGTGGTTAAGGGTTGTAGGAAGCATAGGGCTTGCGAAGGGGTGACGTGCAGAATATTTTAGGCCTCTACATATGTTGTTATAGTGTGGATAGCATAAAGGCTTTTAAAAATTGAGAATGGTCTAGAAAACCTTTGAGGCTCTTTAAAAGAGTCAGACCTGGCACTCCTGTCATGCTGAGGGGTGGCTGTCACCTCTGAGAAGGAGACAGGCCTGCAGTTCCCAGTTGTCACGATCCGGGAGTTCTCTGCTGCCTGAGTCCGGTTGCTTTTCGGCCCTCAGTTTTCAAGAGACTTGGATGCCCGGCCAGAGAATGTGCGGTTGCTGTCACAGGCCCTGGGCTGCCCCTGGAGGATTCTGGCAGGAGTGCGATACTGTGGAATCTGAGGAGCCCAGCGCCATGGCTTTGCTTTAGGCAAGTGAGCCACACTTTCTGAGGAGCTGCTGGCTGGGACTTGGGAAGTATTTTTAGGGATGATCAGAATGGTGTGTACCAAAGAGGGCTTTGCCCTGTGTTCTGGAGAGTGAGGCGGATTTCTAGTGCTGCTCAGTCCTCTCCTGCTTCCCACTTCTGGCTCAGGTGATGAGATTGGTGGCAGCTCTGAGGAAGATGTTGAGGTGGCAGGTTGGCGAGATGTGAGTCATAGTTGCCTTGGGACATTAGGTTCTGAGGAGCTTTGGTTCTGTGAGCCCATAAAGGAAGAACAAGGAGAAGGGGGAGCCATTTCTCTCGTTTCCTTCCCCCCGGGTGGCCCCAGGAGGGCTGGTTGCCCAATCCCGAGAGGTTCATGGTGACCACACAATAGCTGGCTCAAGCCCACGTGATAATGCCAATGACTCCATAAGAGTAGGGGCCAGCTGAAGTGACGAGTCTCAGTGGCCGAGGACATTCAGGCTTATCCAGGAGTCCATAACAACCCACAATGCGTAGCTCCTCCCAGGTGAGCTGCACGGGAGAGGGACTGACCAGTAGTCTCCCTGCCTTTTACAGGTAGGACAAAATTCATTTAAAAGTACAATGCACCCTTGGCTCACGAACTCCATTCATTCATTAGGGCTGGTTGTAACTCAAGTTGGTCAACTGAAGGCTCAGACTCCTCTACACAGCCTTCGAAGTCTCTCTCCTATATACAGGCAGATCTCAATGTCCCTAGAGAGACTTTGGCTCAGGGTTTCCCAGTTAACCCCACACAGGAAAGGATGTTGTAATGTTCCTTCTAGAGCTCTTTAAGAGTTAAATCTGTATCTGAGACCATCTGGAAGCACAAGTGGCCAGCATTCAGGTCATAATGCAAGACTTTGATCATAAGTTAAAACTAAAATTCCAGTTGTAACCCAAGTTGTTTGTAGGTCAGGCCAGTCATAACTTGAGGGTCCACTGTATTGTTTTTTATAACATTATAAAAAGGTTAAAGTTAAAGTTGATACACATTTTTCTTAAAAACATGTGGCCATAGGATGCAAGGGTAACCAGAAGTCAGCTGAATCATATCAAATTAAATCCATTTCCTGTTTTATGTGATGGTTTGCTTACTAAACCAGGAGAATGATGTGGCAGTGCTGGTATGTTTGGCTTTAGTGAAGTATTTCACAGCTTCTTAAGACATGATTGCCCATATTAAATCATAAGTAGTAAAATATGGGCTGGGTGGTGTTATTAATTTAATTTGAGAATCCTATGCAAACGCTCTTAATTACTGGCACAAAGCCTGGAAGGAGGTCAGAGAGTGAGTGCCACAGGGCTCTGTTCCTGGCTTGGGTTAGGGTTAGTGTGGTTGAGGATGTAGAAGGTTTGTTTTTCTGATTTGTTGGTGGCACGGAGATGAAAAGGATTGCTTAGTAGATAAACCAAAGACATCTAGAATGAGGACCTCAAATTAAAAACAAAAAGAAGCCGGGTATGGTGGCCCACACCTGTAATCTCAGCTAATTGGGAGGCAGAGGCAGGAGGATTGCAAGTTCGAGTCCAGCCTGGGCAACTTAGTGAGACGCTGTCTCTAAATAAATAAGTAGGGGTAGCTTGGGATGTAGCTCACAGCCCTCCCCTCCCCAATTTCCATGAGGAATAGATGTAAAGTGTGGTTTAGTTTTATAGTTTTGAACTGTGATATATCAAGATGTTCATACAGTCTAACAAGTCTAATAATCCTTTTTCAGGCATATAGGTGAGATCATATCCAAAATATACATGATGTTGTATGCACAGATCATTCAGAATTTTGAAAAACTCTAGTGAAAAACTGGTAAAAATCTCAATATCCAATGGTGCGGGCTGGAGTTACTGGATAGGTGAATTCCGATGGATGTGTCTTTATAGTGGAATGTTACGAAGTTTCATTTATAGTGGAATGTTGTGAAGTTACACAAAGTAATATTTAGGAGCAATTTAAAAAATAAGGAAGACTATTTCTGTTAAAAGTTACAGTTCTTCTACAGTAGCATTCCAAATGTTTAAAAAATGTGCATAGAAAATGACTGGAAGGAAACATACTGATAACACTAAAACTAAGTTGCTTTTCCATGGCTTGAGCTGAGTGACTCTCTCTTTTTCATGCTATAAATTTATTATTTTCCAGTGGGGGAAAAGACTGCTACTTTAAACACATCTTATTGCTCAAGGACAGGCTGGGATAGATGATTCACGCAGTGACTAATGTTGAGTACTTACCTGCCTTGGCTCAAGTCCCGGCTTAGGCACTGCAGCCACAAAATAAGACTCAGGCCCTTCTTTCGGTTGGTGCAGGCCCACTGTGGAAGGCCAGGCCATGTGGCAGAAAGTCTTATTTTTTTTTCCCCCATTGTTCATGAGTTCAGTGTGAGTCTTCAGTGAGATGAAGCTTTCAAAAAAAAATCAAGTCCAGTTGAGAATCAAAGGATCTACTCTTGATGACCTTGACCATGTGACCTTTGGACCACTGGGGCACCATGATTTAAAAGGAACATGAGCATCAAGACTTGATCCACTAAGGTAGACTAGGGTGATATAGGATCAGGAATGGCTGGAGTACACTTATGGAGGGGGTACCCAGTAGAAGTGTTTTCATGGTCATCGGGTGTAGGAAAGAGCACACACATTCAGTCTTACTCTTGGTGTTGGACTATGACCTGTGGATGAAGCAGTTGCTTTATCTTCTGTAGCTTCCCATTCTTCATCTGTAGAATGGTTGCCCTGATGTTGAAGGACTTTAAAGTATCCTTTAACCATAAAGACTGGGTTGGCAAATTTCATTTCAGCTTGCAAAGGGATTTTCTATTTGGCAGATCTGCCCAGCAGTGGACACGTCTGCCCGTGAAGTAGTGGGCTTCCCGTTGTTGGAGGTATTCAAACAATGCTGAACGCCATTGATCAGGGACGCTGCAGAAGAGAAGAGCAGGAATTAGGCTGAACTCCAAAGTCTCTTCCAGTTCTCAAGGTCAGTTACTATGTGACTTGTCAAAGCTGGAAGAAAATATGGAGCAGATCCTGCTTCCTGACGTCTTGGAGTTACTTTTGTTGTCGTTAGGGACTCTGCTTGGGCTAAGTTGCAGAGCATGAGTTTCTTAGCGAGCTCTGTGGAGAGGAGAGAGGTTCCTCTCAGGTTTGGAGATTATCACAGGATGATTTCTGACTCCATGAGCTTTGTGTTCCTCTTCTGGCACTGGAGAAATCGGTAGTTGGGAAGAAAAATGCTCTGTCTTCTCTGAGTCAAGGCATGCTAGCTTTTAGATGTAGGTCAGAAGGTCTTTACACACTTGTTGGCAGTGGCCCGCGTCGTCTTTGTGTCCACATCATTTGGTCCTTGCGTGGAGTCTGTCACATCGATGGTGCTTGCTGAACTGCCATGAACCATTTTCCTGGGTGTGGGGAAAAGTTAGACTGATAGCCTTTTTTATTTTTTTTTCTTTCAGTACTAGGGATTAAACCCAGAACCTTTGCACTAAGCTACATTCTGAGCCCTTTGTATTTTGAGACAGGGTCTCAGTACATTACTAAGTTGTTCAGGCTGGGCCAGAACTTGATCCTCCTGTCTCAGCCTCCCAGAGTGTGGGAATTACACATAGGCACCACCACGCCCAGCCTGAACTTTAAAACAAATACAGTAAGAAATAATAGCTTCCTGCTTTTCCTATCCTTTTGAGCCATAAAACTCTTAGAACAGCCGCATACAGTGGCTGAGGAATTAAAACCTACTCTCCTCCTTTTCTTTTTATTCTGTTGTGAAACAAATTGCTCTCTGTGTTCTTTTCTTAAATTCATGTGTTCTCCATCCATTTAAATCTTGTGATCTATTTTTATGGTGACTGTCACCATGCTACTCATGCGCAACGGAGGCTTCCAGGGTCCAGATGGATGGATCAGAGTTCTGCTGCAGGTGGAAGAGGAACTGTGTTGGAGTAGGCTTTTCTTCTTTTCTTTTTTTTTAATTGAGGCATACTTTACACATAGTGGAATGCTCAGATCTTAAGTGTGCCATTTAATCAGTTTTGACAAATGCATATGGAGACAAAACATACTCAACACCCCAAATGTTCCTTGTGACCATTTCCAAGTAATCCTTACCACAAGTGGAAGTACCATAAATCTGATTTCTATCACTGGAGGTTAGTTTTGCCTTGCTGGTTCTTAATATTCTAAATGTGTTTTTCTAAGGGCTCAGTAAGTAGTGCTTTGAAGAGATGCTAGTGTGTATGTGTTGAAAATCAGTATCCAGAGCTGGGGGTGTAGCTCAGTGGTGCACACCTGCCTAGGATGCATGAGGCCCTGGGGTTCCATCCCCAACACCACAATAAGTAAGACAGTAAATTAATTAATTAATAAGTAAAGCAGTATCCTATGTGGCTGGGTGGCCCCAGTAAGTAAATAATAATATTTTAATGTTTGTTTAATGAGATGTTCAGATCCTTCCTTTTCATTTGCCCAAGGGATCCAGACTGATGTTGGAAATCCCGATTGCCAGACAGAAGAGTGGACGGCACAGTCTGCTTGTCCTCACCAGGAGGAGGTGTGGCTGGGCACAGCTGCCTGACTCGTGCGTGCGTGTGTGCATGGCTGTGTGCCTGTGTGTGTGTGTGTTTGTGCGCTGTGTGGAGGGCTGCACTGCTGGCTTGGAAGAACTGGAATTGCTCCGAGGACATCCCCTTGGATTACCAGAAGTCCTTGGGACATACTTTCTCTTTCTGGCCCCCCCCTTTCCTAAAACTGGCAGATAAATTTAACAGTCCACAGAGTTACAGAGTTGCACTTGTAAAACTGAAATGAGATCTGTGCTGCAAAGCCTGCAGCTGGCTGGGAAATCCGAGCCAGATCTGCCTTGCTGAGTTGTCTCGCAGCAAACTCCAGGCAGATTCGAGTAGAAGATTGCTCCTAAACTCATTATTGAAATGTATTGAGCAGGGTCTATTTATTTTTTAAAAAACAAAATGAATAAATGATTATTATAATAAATGATTCACTTATAATTAATAAATGATGATAAATGATTCATTATGTAAGTAATACATGAACACATTCTCTGTAGGGGAAAAAAACCGAAATCTTTCAGAGCAAGCAAAAAAATCTTCTCTGACAACCACTCTTAATCCCAGTCCTTTCCGCAGAAGTAAACCACTATCCTGGGGTTGTTGGTATTCTTCAAATGCTTTGCATACTTATATCTGTGCCTCTGGGACTTATAAAAGTCAGGATATAGACATATACCTCAGGATATCTTTTTTAAATTTTTTTATTTTTTGAGACAAGCTCTCGCTATATAGCTCAGTCTGGCCTTGAAGTCACAGCAGTCCTCCTGCCCCAGCCTCCTGGTGTACAACCACACCTGGCCAGGGTATCTTTTTCTCAGTGTTCATAGATCTTTTGGTACCAGGGATCGAACTCGGGACCTTACTCTTGTGAGGCAGGCGTCGGAACCACTGAGCTAAATCCCCAGCCCTGATCTTATTGATCTCGTTAGTTCCTACCTGCTCTTCCTGAGAATTAGAAGGCTAAACAGTTACTTCACCTTTCCCTCATTGATGGACACAGTTACTTCTGATCCTTTTCTGTTACAAATGCGGTTCTAAGAGACCTTACTGCACTCGGAGCCTCAGCACTTGGGAGGTTTCTCCTGGTAGGTACTGAGAAGGTGGAATGGCTGGGTAGCAGGGCTCTTTAACTGGATGTTCTGATGGAGATACACTCTAGGCTCCCTTCTTTGCTTAGAGTTACTGTAAGTGATCGGGCTGTGCTCACTCATCTGGTCACTGAAGACTAGGATTTAGTGTGAGGTGCCTGCCCTCGTCCGCGCCCCCTCCTCGGTCCCTGCAGGTTAGTGCTGGTTATCGAGAAGGGCTGGGGATGGAAAGTCCTCTTCTGGGTCCTGTAGTTAATTATGTCTGGTCCCTCCTTGCCTCCAGGACTTTGGCGTAATAACACTTCTGCCCGAAAGAGGTGCAGGATGCATGAGCAGCCCATGGAGGACTCTGAATGGTAAATTCTAAACCCACTTCACTCTCCACCTGCAGGTCTTCTCCTTGCCATTTTTAGAATACAAAGTGTCTCTTAAACACTTGAGCCCAAGGGGAGGCATTGGGAAGGACTTCAGTGTTGTTTCAGAGCCCTAGAGCCCTGCTGTGTTAATGAGGGGAGAATGGCTTGCGCCTCTCTGTTCTGTTCACTCCTGGCGGTCTTCAGTGTTCGAACAACTCCCGGGAAGCATGCAGGTTAACCATGCTTTGGGCCAGTGTGGCCAGGGAGGCTTCAACTCCAGCCGGGTTGAACATAGCCGTGGGGCTGGCTGTGTGTTGGTGCCACTTGTTCCCTAGCTAGGAGGAAGCAGAGCCCTCTGTGGCCTTAATGATTGTACATTCTAGGCTTTCAGGTCCTTATGCAGACGGCAGGGAAACAGCTCTGGTTCTGACCCAGGAGAGCCCGATTTTGCATTCATTTCCATTGCCTTCTTTGGGGTTTGCAGGCAGCTCCTCCTCCGGAGTCCTGCAAGTGTTAGCAGGGCCTCCCTCTCTCCTTTCAGGATTTGGCAGCCGAGTCAGCGTTCCCTCCTCTCATCCTCTCGTCCACTGTCCACTGTGTAGCTTCTTTCAGGGCCCTCCTGGCCTTGACCTTCTGGGCCCGAAGGACAGGTCTTCTTAGCTTACCCTCCTGTCACGCGGCAGGTGCAGGGTGCCCAAACTCTGGCTTTGCAGCTCATCTTTCTTGATGGGCAGAGACTGCTGTTGGCAGGGCAGACGATTTTCTGATTTTGTAGGGGGCTGGGCAATGTGTTTGTTTGTGGGTTTTTTACTTTTGCAGCAGTGCTGGGTGAAATGTCTTTTGTTTTCTTTTCGGCCTTTGCGATCAGAGTGGGCACCTGACCCACGGTGACCCACCGTGACCCAGAGGTCTCCGGACTGGGTCTGATGTCACCACAGAGCTCTCGAAAAGCCCTCTTTCCTTGGATCTGAACATGCGCTATGCCTCCCAACATCTGTGCAAGCTCTTCCCTGTAATTCACCCATAGCTTTGTTTTTTCATCACTAGCTGGGCTTTGGTGTCTGTTGTTTTAGGCTAATATTTATCCTGAACTCTGTTCCGTGTCCGATGTGGATTTTTTCATTACTTTCTTTCCTTCTACTTCCTCTCTCCGATCTGGATGATTGGCATCTCTAGAAAGAGAAGCTTGATGACTCTTTAAAACCAGGGCACTTAAAAAAAAAAGTCTTTGCCTCACTAAAGCCTTGAGCTGCCCTTTGGGAGAGGAACCAATATTTTTATCATTTTACATGCAAGGAAAGTGAGTCACAGAGTGGTGTGGACATTGCCAAGGTCAGCTTATGGGGAAGGCTCATTGGCGACTCACATGGTTTCACTGTGTGCTCTTTGGGACACGTATAAGGGGTGAAATAATGGCTGTAGCCCCAGGTACCGGGGATCCCCAGGCTTAGTACTGTCTCATTTCCCCTTTCGTGCCACAACCACCAGTGCCTGCCACATGAACCTTTCCTGGACTCAGTGTTTTGGTAACAGGGACCCTTACGAGGTCATGCAGTCCAGCCTGGTGACAGCCTTGATTTCCCTGGCTGTACTGGGCAGAGCACATAACTGTGGGATCAGACACATCGGAGTTCGAATCTGAGTTCCATCACTTTCTATCTCTGTGGCTTTGGACAATTACTCAACTTCCTTGAGTCTCTGTTTGCTTATTTGTTTGTTTTTTTTTGTTTTTGGTACTGGGGATCGAACTCGGGTCCTTGCGCTTGGGCAGCAGGCGGCAGAAACCACTGAGCTAAATCCCCGGCCCACTATTTGCTTATTTGTAAGATGGGGATGGTAGTGGTGCTTATCTCATGGTTTACTTGGAGGGCACTAAATGAGGTGCATCCTGTGAAATTCGCAGTGGGTGACTGGCACATAAGTCTTTGACCAGTGAGAACTACTAGAGTATTAATGAACAAGCGTAGT